TATAAGCAGGGATTTAGTTGTCTTTGAGACTGGCAACTCAAAGGGAAGTTGGTTATAGGGGAACCAACTTCCTAGATATAGGAACACGGTGCACTTCGGGCCTTTGCAACTATCGTGAACGTTATTAATATTTGTGCTCTAAAGGCAATGCTTTCCTGAAGGTGGCAGGGAAGGGAAAAACCTTTTGTGCTTGTTTCTATGACAAATTCAGTTGTTAAATACAATACAGTGTGCATGCACGCACACCCTCCCCGCCACTCCCTCGCTGTGGAAAGAGGGTCCAAGGCCCTCTGTAGGGCACATCATCTCCTTAAGGCAGGGAAAGCAAAAGCCGTGCATGTCCCGCCGTCCTCTCTGCAAGGACTATCTCCAGACAACACGGCCTGCTGCAGCTCAGGCCTCTCCCAGTCCAGAAGCTAGGGACCCTGCAGTGGAGACCGGGGTGCCGGGCCCTACAGCTGGACTTCCCATTGCTCTTTAACTGAGTTACTTTTGCAGCTCCTATCCCTCCTACTTATAAGCTCTTCCTACTCCCTTCACTTGCCATTCGTTCAGGTCCTGGAGGGTCCTTCAGTGCACGTCCTTCCAGGCTGTTGGCTCCCAACTAGACTTCCCCCAAGTCATCTCCAGCCCCAGTGAGCATGCCTGCTGCTCCCCACACCCTTATTTTGGATGGTCGTGGCTCACCCAGCACTCACCCAGGTTGAGCAAGTCTGTAGGCACATAAGACCCAGCACTGCATGCTGTAATGCAAAGCATATGGGTCATGCTGATCTGCAAGTGCCTTGAGAAGTACTTAGAAAGCATCTACACCTGGTACATTTAACCCTGCAGCTGGGCACTGAAAATCCCTTTTTGGGGGTGGGGGGGGGGCACTCCCAAATTGGTTTGCATTTCTAACGTCTGCTACAACAGGACCTCCAAGCTACTGGGACCATGAGGCAACAGCCTCACCAGAGAGCCCGTACTTAACACCACTCTGCCAGGAAGGGACTCGATGCTTATTTTTTAATCTAAACCCCATTTCACTCCAGAGCCAGGATACCAGGCAAATGATAGCCCCTTGTTAAAGCCCACAGCTTGCAATTAGTCTCTTCACATTTTGCCAGGACCAAACTGATGTAAACATCCTGCACCAAAACCCCCATTCAGCAAAGCACATGCCTGACTTGGAGTAGCCAAGTCAAACTACTGCTCATATATTACACTTCTGCTTAAAAACACTCAATAGGTCAGAGGACTAAAGGGTAAAGTAGCAGGGTGAAGAGGTTAAACATGCTTCTTTGGCTAATAAAATTAGCTCTTTCCTGAAATCCAGAAGGGCAAGGTTCTTGAGTTCACAGGCTTCATAACCCCTGGGATCATCCAATGTTTAAGTGGAAATCAAGACAATTCCTTTATGCCTTATTTAGCCCTGTTAAATCCATCTCCTCAGGTACAGCAAATCACATCTGTATCAATCCTGATAAGAATATTGGCAAAGCCTCATTAAATCAGCAGTGGCTCATTAATAGCATCCAATGAGGGTAGATTATCACCTTAGGAAAAAAAAAAATCAATACTGCCCATTAGCCATTCCCCTGCATTTGTGTATTAATATTCTCTTGCCATATTAAAAATAGAAGCGATTTCTCTTTAAATCACTTTAACGTTTTAAAACAAAGCATTTTTTTAATGATGGCATCACGTACCTAGTCCTGAGAAAGTTTGTGAAATCTCCCCACTTCTCTTCATGTTACCAGTGCTGTGTTTCATTTCTTTGCAGCTACTCGATAGTAGTGAAGGCGACCGATGCACACGGCCTTTCTGCAACTGGACACATAAAGGTGTTGCTTATTAACATAAATAATAACGACCCCATCCTCACTTGCACGTAAGTAAGCAAGAGAAATTACTTCAGCCCACAAGTCCCCACATTGGAATCACAGGGGTTTTGCTCCTGGTTTTATTTAGATGATCTTCTGCAGAAAGCTCTTCAGTAATGCACCCATATTTTTTCCTCTTTCAATAAAGTTTTTACAGCATAAGGAATGGTGCCCTGACTCCCAGGACAGAAAACTCCACCATCGGAGAGATGGTGAACATCACACTCGACGAGGAAATCCCTCTTGGAAAGGCCATTGGCATTTGCCAAGCTACAGACAAAGATTTAATGAACGACCTCACTTTCCACCTTGATCCAGGAAATGCTTACTTTGCTGTGGACAGAAGTAGGTTGTTATGGGAATCTTCTTGGGGACCTTTAAAAGTTCACTGTAAATGAGAAAACACACAAAGCAGGAGGAAGAAAGCCGAGCTGTGGCTGTGTGCTGGCAACGGCCCCCCGAGGCTTCCCCAGAAGTTTTCTCTTTGCTGAACTTTCTACCACCAGGTCCTCAGCCAAAGCTGTATTTATTTGCAGTAAAATAGGATTCTAGAGCAAAATAGACATTAGATCATATTAGATCCTAGAGCAAAAATACCCTAACGTGAGTCCAGGTCTTAGGCAATCTAATGGAGATGTATCAATCCTTTTCATTCAGGAGATGAGAGAGACTTTGCTACCCTCGATTCTAAACCTGGGCCAATTTGCTTGACATAAATCTGTGTCCATTTCACAGCCCGTGGAACTCTGATGGTTGTGTCCAGGCTGGATATGGAGGAAGATGGATTCATGAATGTCCAGTCCTTTACTGTCAAGGCTTGTGACAAAGATCTGAGATGTGCTGCCATTTCTGTCAGTGCAAACATCTGTGGGGTCAATGATAATCCACCGTACTGCGACCAGTACACGTACAGGTGAGCAAAAGCCCCCCTGTGCACTGGTTACAAAGGATTTGCTCAACGGATGAGAGTAACAGAATTTATTCCGACTTGGGTACACTCTTCCATGTGTGTATGCATGCAGTCATGAACCGTACACGCATGCACACGCACGTGCGCACACACGCATACACACACAGAGAGTGTGGTTTGTGAGGAGAGAGGAAAGTAGACTTCCAATTCCTAAATTTCTGTTTAGGAAAATTTGGAAGCTTCTTCTCCCCACCACCCCTCCAATAGTGAATCTGCACTATGAATTTTACAGCTGTAAAAAAGTGCCTAAGAAGTACCAAACTAACCCGTGCCGTGCTTAGATGACAATAAGGCTGACTGATGTACATCCTTTATGAACCAGTAGGAACACAAATGAGCCCATTTGATAAATACCAGTAGTGCTCTTGATCATTTAAATTTTAATATTAGAGGAATCCTCCTACTGGATTGTTTTAAATCACATGTGGCAAAGTCTATTTTCTAATGCTCTTCGAAAGACTGGCTTATTCTGCACACCCCCCTCCCCTCCATATTCTATATTGGACACTTGTCCATCCCAGAAATACACCAGATGCTACGAATGATTAGTCTGGTTCCCTTTGCAGTTGCATTAATATAAGTCCCTGCTGCCGGCCAGGGGGTTGTGCAGATAATCCCACAGGCCTGGGATATAATGATCAGAGAGGGATGGCTATACCCTTTAAATCAGTGGGAGTTTTAACACTGAATGCCACTGGATCAGAATCAAAGTTAGACTCTGTAATCCCTGCAAGTCCAATATTTACACTGATGTACCAGTAGTGCAAAGGAGAACAAGATAAGACCTTTTTTCATAACATCTAACAGACTTCCCTACTTTTGGAAAGAACAGTGAAACCGTTCGATTCCTGCCTCGGTGAATGTCATTATCTACATCAAATTAAATCAGCTTCTCAGCTGCTGTAAACCATCCCATCCCCATTGAAGTCACTGAAGTGACACCAGTTTAAACCAGCTATGATTCGGCCTCGTGTTTGTTAAAATGGCGGTCAGTAGATGAAATTTGCATAGCTGATGGACATCTATGGAGCATAATTACAGCGACTACTAGCATACTAATTCTTTTAATGGCCTTTCTTTAATTAGATATACAGGCATGGAGGTTATTGAAAATAATTCAGTGGTTGCTGAGCTGACATGTCATGATCAAGACAGGCCCCCGGATGTACTTCATTACACACCTAACAGTGGTCCCATTGGCACTGGAAAACTCTTTGAACAAGTCCCAGGGGCTGAGAATACAATTTGGGTGAGTACTTAAAAGAGTATTGCAAGGGCTGTGAACAGAGAACCCAAATGAAGACAGAAGAGACTATCATCACCACCATCACAGGCACGCTCCAGCTAGGATAGGCGCACACCTTAGCCCTCCTCCTGTCTTTTTTGTTGATGTCTGTGGTAGAAAACTATTTTCTGGGAAGAGAGGAGATGATTGAAATTTGGTGAAGTTCTGTGCATGGTGCAAAAGCACATGTCTGAGAGGGGTTTTGGAGAGGGCTGGGGGAATGCTTCCTGCCGTGATGAAAAGGAGCTTTCTTAGGTGGCTTTCAGTGAGTTCTTGTTGATTGGTATTGTGCCTTGCACCTCAGATGGGTGTCTTGGTTTATTTTCATTTAAATAATTAAAGAGCAACTCTTTTACTTAATGAATAATGGGAAAGTGACTGGCTACAACTTGCATATTCCTCCCCGTCTTCTTCTTGGTTAGATCTCAGCATGGCATGCAAGCTAAACCTCAGTAAATTCTGCCAGAAACCCCAGGAGTTTCCTGCATGCTCCCTTTTTCATTTCCTGTGCTCACTGCTGTTTCACAGCGCTGCACAATATTAGATGCCTAATACATTTTACCCCAGCGATGCCTGCATTCGTACTGTAGTGGCCCCTGAAGTCCACTACCAGGCCAAGCTACACTGAAATAGATGCTGCACATACAGATGCTGCCCCAGTTTGTACTCTATTTCAGTCAGCTAAAATACGTTTAATCCTTTGGACCAGTCCATATGGAAGCAGCTCCATATGCAAGATCACAGCCAGGTCCATGCAAAGATTTCACCATGCAGTTTTTTTATCACGTGCTTTTGACACTTGGCTATGTGTCTAATGAGAACATTTGTTTAAGTATAGTCTGAAATCTATAATTTTAGGTGTTCTTTACAGTCACCTCACATAGCTTAATGTAACAGGCTATACATATTTGAATCGATGCCTCTTTCACCCAAGGTCACCAAGGAGCTGGATTATGAAGACCCAGGTAACATTGCAGTTGGCAATACTCATGAAATGATGGTAGCTGTGTACGACGACACAAATCCCTCACATACAGGTAAGTTTCTGATGCACATCGATCTGTGGATACTTCATCTTTCTTCTGTACACTGTCCCGTTACCAGAAACATCCTTTGTGGTTGACTTCACAGCTCTTTTTCGAGCCCTGTTTTGGAGACCTATATTGTTTCTTTGTCCTGAGTATTTCACACTCTTAAAATGAATCAAAAATCTCAGCTCGTTATCCTCAATAATTTCCCATACAATTGGATAATGAACTGGATTCCATTCTTACCACTACCTCTAAGATACCACACTGTGTCCTATTGCTCCTACTTCATTTTATTTCTATCCGGGTGCATCTACATGAGATACTATCTGCAGAGCTAGGCAACTCTGCAGTAAACATCTCACGTCTACACATGCAGCCCTATTAGGCCCCACAGGAAACTAATAAACTCCACAGCATGTGCACTTTTAAATACAAGTACTATCCTGCTGTGGAGCTTTTTTTGTGCTCAGCAATGCACATGTAGACACTGACCCGGCTGGCTAGGGCACGAAAGTGCTTCAGTGTGGGCATAAGGGTACTTCACCCTCGTGCCCCAGCCAGCCCCTCTGCACCATGCTGAGCTGGGTCAGAGCAACTCTGGCTGGTAAGCTGACCCCCCAACCCCTGCCAGCCAGGGCTGTGGTGCCCTGGCTCGACATGCTGCAGTCCCAGGCACACGTGTAAATGCGGTGTCTGGGAGCAATGAACTCCAGCATGATATGCACTGGAGTTTATTGCCTCATCTTAATATGCACATGTAAATGCATCCTCTGTAGAGTAATAAACTCCCTGATATTTCATAATGAGCAGCATTATAGGAGAGAGAGAGATGGCACTGTGGAGGTACCTGTTTTCTCTTATATTTCCAGTTATGGGAAATGATTGCTAGATTTTCCCTTTTTGGATCAGCCCAGTGGCTTGGGCACAATATTTTCTCTATGCAAATACTTTTCTGCAGAACTCCCTTGCATCTTAGCTTCCATTTTGAACCCTCTCAAATTTGAGCCTGCTACCATCTGTTATACAGTGGTAAGAAGTGCATTTAATTAAGAGCACTCCAGCCACGCCCCTCCCTTCCCTTTTTTCCAGCTTTTTCTCTCTTTTTACTTGGTAAGTTGGCAGGGAAGTTGAATTAATAAGGGCCTCTATGTCAATCCTCTATTGCAGAGAAGTCTTATGTTGGGTTAGCCACACAGGCTCGCTAACCAGGCCTCTGCACAGCAGGCCAGCTATTGGCAGGGTTGGCTGTGTGTGCTATAAGTGAGAAATAGTATTCTCCATTTCCCCCCTTTCCAGTGACGGCAACGATAATTGTGAAAATCACTCCTACCAACGACTTCAGCCCAGTGTTTAGACCTCCAAGTTATTCATTTACAGTTCCAGAAACGTCAGGCGGTAAGTAACAAGGCAGTCCTCACCGTTGCTGTGGTTCTGGCATGTCTAGAAGGAAGGTCTCAATGGGATTTCAGATATTGTTTAATTTGTCAGCAACTTGGCTCAATCTTAAACGATGGACCTGGGGTTGGGTCCTTGCACACTGCCAGCACTCGGCCCAACCTGGCACCTGGTTGGCATTGCTTGCAGATAGGGACACACTGAAGGAGCCACTGCCCAGAGCAAGAAATGACAAGATATTTCCGTGGGGCAGGGCAAAACACATGGGCTGCAAGTGGCACAGGCAGCATGTGTGTGTGGCACACAGCAAATCAGGGAGGCAGCTGGCAGTATGGTGGCAGACAGCAAAGCAGCAGACGGGGCAGGGAGCAGAAAACAGAGAAGTAGAACGGGAAGGGGAAGGGGATTGGAGTCCATGGAGCTTAATTTGTGGCACACCTGCCCAAAAGGTTAGCCCTAGTTGCTGGGGTAAAACATTCACATCCCATGGGATGAAGCAGCTCTGCGTGGCTTCAATGTGGAGAGATGCAGGCTGCCAGATCCTCTGCCTTCAGCACACCTGCACCCAGTCTCCCTGGCACACTGGGAGCCCCCACCCCTGCTCACACCTCAGCCGCGGCCCTGCCTCGCTCAGCACCAATGCAAAAGAATGTGCCCTGCAAAATGTGGGAATGTGCCCTGCCATTAATAGCCCAAAAGTCCCATTAATATCATCAGTGCCACTCTGCTCACAAGCTGGTTGGCATTTCATGGAGCCAAGGAAGTTGCTTTGCTCAAATGGATGTGCTTTTGCCACGCAAGCCTCATGAGTCTAAAGTCTGTCGTTGCGCCTGCAAGTGAAGAAGCAAATAATCATTAGAAAAGGTTAGTCTGTGCCCGGTGATGTTAGACGGGGGTGGGGGAGTTTCACACCCCAGACTTGCGGCACAAGATTTACCTTGGCTCAAGACACGTTCTTTTTTTCTAATTGAATGAGGTCATGACACTTTCCTTTTGTCAGCAGTTCAAATGCTGTCTGCCATTTAGAGCCAGGTCAAAGAAACTTGGATGGAAGAGTTTCCTACTGGGAAATACAGCTCCAGCCATGACGACGTGCTTGGCAAAGCTGGGCTAATGTTGCCAAAAAGCTCGTTTCGGAGAGATAGACCTAAGGGGTCACTTCCCAGATCGAACTGCAACAGATGTGGTTGGCTGATATCTGACCAGAGCAGAGCCATGTTTGCTGTCTGGTCTACCTTCAAAGACCTGACATTTCTTCTGTGCCCTTAAAGTCAAAAACAGTGTGACCACTGCCCCCAGAATTAGGTGCCGATTGAACCAGGGATGCACCAGTTTGTGGTCTCAGGGACCGATTGTCATCTGCCACCTTTATGTGCAAGAGAAGACAAATCGCTGCAGGATTTGGGGGGTGAGAAGGAAACGGAGGGAGTAGCACCACGTGGGTACTAGAAGCTGGGTTCTTGCTATCTACTGCATAGCATGCAGTTCTCTCTTAAATAGCCCAAGAAATAAAAAGTCTCCCTTTTTCACATGAAAACACAATTGCTTTGTGGAAGATATAGATAACTATAGTATTATTGACAATTTGTAGTGATCTCAAATACTGAAAGTAATTTTCCCTGATGGAGTTTGACATCTCCGTCCAAAAATATGTATATTCATTTTCTTTAAACTGCGAATAGTTTTTAACCAAAGCAAATTTAAACACAAGCTAAAGTTCCATCACTTTGTGCTGCAATTCATAAGGGAAACATAATTCATTTGCAATAGTTTTCAACAAGAAAACTTGGCAGGCTTTCAGCAAGTTTCATAATTGCTCTATTTTAAAACTTCAGCTTGGAAATGCTCAAGATAGCTTTTAGTTTTATTGAAAGGTTAATTTCACACCTACAGGAAAATAGCAGCTTTCCATTAGACTTAACCGAGTGTTAAATGTGAAAATTACAGAGCTTCTTCACACGCATGTGCAAAGTTTGTTGCGTTTTTTAACCCCTGTCGCTTTTCTATAATGAACTAAGGTACAAAGGCAAGAAGGTTGCTTTCCTTTTGCCTTTGCTGGCATGCAAAGCCTGTTGCTTTCACACTTTCCAGCAATTGAATGTTTTTGTATGGGTTTGGCTCCATGGTGGGAGCTGCATCGTGTTGCCAGCACACAGTTACAGTGTTAGCAGTGCTCAGAGATGGTCCTTAGCAAAGTGAAGATGAAAGGTCTTCAGTGAGTGCCTCTACACATGTGCATTTACTGCACAGTAACCAAAACTACTGCAGAGTACTGGTGCGCATTTACATGTGCATGCGCAAACTGTGCAGTGACTATGGTGATTTATGTAGACCTGAGTGTAAATTTGATATCTGCATCATGCAGGTATCAAATTTACACCCAACTAGTTATCGTGCAGTAATGCACGTGTAGATGTCTTAGTGCACAGTAACGCTATGTGTGTGAACTGACTTGGGACTAAAAAGTGAGTCCCAAGTCAGTCCATACACAGTGTTACTGCACAGTAAGTTGCAAGTCGGTCCACAGACAGCATTAATGCACTTTAATGCCTGCATGTGTAGACACTGGCTTATTCCTTTTTACTGTGCAGTTACTTTAACCCTGCGTTAATGCATGTGTAGACACACCCAGTGTAAAGTTAGGCTTATCCAAGGGCAAGCCGTACAAGAGAGTTGAGGGCTGCCCTTGGGCAGTTTCTAGAAATACGAATATTAGCCAACAGTTTTTTGTTAGCCCCAGTTTCCACGGTGGCATAAGATAGATCTAAGTGGACAAGAGTTGAAGGGGCACAAAGATTTTCCTTTCTCCTTATTCCTGCCAGACAGGAGGCCTGTTGGTAGAGTATGGGGGAATTTTACCTGCTGTTGCTGGCTCTCTGTGGCCCCTCTTATGAGAAACCTGCACTTCCAGAAAAAATATTAGGGGTTGATTTCCCTTGGTGCTGAACAATCACAGCTGCCCCTGGTAAACACCAAGCTAGGTAAAATTAAATGGACAAAACAAGTCTCCCAGTCTTAATCAATGATAAAATATTGCCCTCTTACAGCCCACTACACGGTTGGAAAAGTGACTGCCATAGACAACGACTACCCACCAAACTGCATCACCTACAGAATAGTCCGTGGGAACCTGCCGCCTGTTCAGATATTTTGGGTGGACCCAGCATCCGGAACAATAGAGCTGATAACCCAGCCAGACTATGAATCCATCCAACAATACAAACTCACTGTCCAAGCTGTTGATTGCGATCTCGCTCATCCACGCACAGCTGTCACCACGGTAAGGATGACTTGGTTGGGATGGAGCTAGTAGAGAGCACCTCCCCCCCCGATGCTGCTGCTTGGCGCTCCAGGATCTTAGCTTTCATCGAAAGCAAGAGGCATCCAGCTGCAGATTGTAAAGGAAACCTGAAGAGTGCAGCAGATTGAGAGATTATCTGTGCGACTCCTCAGCCCCTGGAAGACTAGACTGGCCATTTTCTCAGGGTGCTGGTAACTAGTATAACTAGGGATGCCCTGTTATCTACTTCATCCCTCACATGCAAGGGAGAAGGAGGGGGCCAGACCTCTGGGTCCCATTTTGGTCCCACAAGTGGGAAATGCCACTTGTCTCCTCTCCCTCATCATCAAGAAGAGGCTGAGCCCGAGGTGCTCCAGCCCTATTTAAATCCTATGGGCCAGGCGAGCTCAGCAGTAGCATGTGCTTAGATTTTGGACAGCCATGCAATCTACTGTGAGCAGGATCTGATTCAAAACATTGAACTGTTGGGAGCCAGGCTAGAGCATCCTGGCACAGGCTGGGAACTGAAGGACTAATGTGCATTCAGGGGAAGATAAAGTGATGGGACACTAGAGACGTGGCAGCTGACAGGAGCCATGCAAGAGGAAGGAGCAGAAACTCATGATGGGATGAAGGACAGAGTGAAGGCAGGGTTGTGGGGTACAGAGATGCAGCAAGGGCACATAATGGGAGCAATAGCAAGATACAAGGGGCAGGAGACAAGAGGATGAGCAGAGGATGAGCAGAGGATGAAGCCAGGGTGGGACAGGAGAGCAGGCATGGATGGGGGTGAAAGGAGAGTGCTCTGCCCAACAGGAGAGAGGGCACAGCAGGGGAGATGGAGGGTCACACACAGCCCAGCAAACAGATCTGAAGCTGGTCCCTGCCCACAGCAACATCTTCTTTCCTTCCCTTGTAAGGCCCACAGGGCTTTGCTTTGCAGAAGGAGTGTGGCTGATGGCAGAGGAGCGTGTTGATTTGGTCTTTTATTGCTCACAGCCCTGAATTTCAAGCGAGTCAGGGAGCAAAGGGGGCCTTGTCTACTGTGTGCAGAAGAAGAGGATGGGCCCTTCCATTAAGCAAGCAAGAGGAGGCATGACACAGAGTACAAGAGTGCTCTGGGCGATGTCTCTGTGCACTAGCAAATCTGCCCCCAAGTTGCTGGCTCTGTTTTCAAATGGCTTTGGGAGTGGTTGTGACCAAGCACTGCAGACACTTCTAAACTCATCTTGCAATCAGACTGGCACTGGCATAGGACTTGGGCGAGAGGTCAGATGACTAGGGCCTGCTCTGCCCTGGGTGAATTTTGCAGTGCCCCTGCACCCAAAGCCTTTTCAAAGTGATGTAAAACAGAAGTGCTTCGGCTTCAGATTACCTGCATCTCCCGCTCCGACTCAAAACCTGTACCCCCCTCTCCTCAACTGCAGCATGGGCCCCGCAACAGGTTTTTGTTTCAAATGTTGCTGCAGCTTGATGCTTCTTTGCATTAATGTATTGTACTCCAGAGTATAATACATTAAGATCCAGCTCCTGCCTTCGCTTATGGAGGCAGGATTCAAGCAGGAGGCTGAACATTTTATTTGCAGAAATAACTGCCTGGCATTTCTAGCTGGTGAGGACTTCTGTGGAACATATTCGCCTCGTCTTAGTGGATAGCCAGCCTGCTAAATAATTCAGTGCAAAGCACAAATGTAAGCACTTGCTACCTAGGAAGCCAGGCTTCTGCTTTCCTGTGAAATCATGTTGTCCTGGTTTTGATGTCAAAGCAGCTCAAATGCAGCAAAGATTTATGAAGATACTCTGGATTTTACTTCCTGAAACTTGAGGCAAGGGGGCTGTGACCCCTCAGTGGTTAGAAAGGAAGAGAAGTGTTCAGATGAGCTCCCGATATGTGAAACTACGAAATGTCGCTAGGAAAAAAAAAAGTGACCCATACCCTCTACAATGTTCCCCAGTATTCAACTCTCTGACAGCTGGGTTTGTCATAGCCAAGCCTGGGAGTAGATTTTGCTGCATTAACAAGTCAAGAAGTGATCTGCAGCCTGAAATATATACCTAGGGCCCAGGAGCACATATACGGTGATGCCTGTGCTACGAGGTACAGCTAACAGGGATTATGCAGCCACGGCTCCGTGCTGAGGGACTCTGCAAATGCAACGAGCTTACCTCAAGATGAAGTGGCATCCTCCTAATTGCCAGGTTCTCCTGGCTGATGAGGAAGTGAGAATAAACTAAATGCTGGTGGAATAAGCCACGGCTGGATGGTAATGGCTTCAGTGATAAAAATCCCTGCTCCAGCACCTCCCGCCCCTCTTCTCCGGTCTTGTAGATCAAGGGGCAGCAATCAGCACAGAGTCGGAGCCACAGCTGGGCTCCTCGCAGCTTCCTGTCATGCCAGGGGCCCTGGGAGCTGATCTACAGCTCCTGTGGCATTTTAGAGCATGCGTGGGTTGTTGTGTCCCAGGTTACCGGGAACATTTTAATTAATACTTGCCGACACAGGATTAGCGTAAAAGCAGAAGCAGGTTTTTAAATCGATTACAAGTTACAACCCGAGCGTGTGCCTACACCAGCTTGCGGCATGGCTGGAGGGGGAAAACCAGCAGAGATGGCGTCTGCAGATCCTCCAAAGACCCAGAGCCACCTCCGCTCTTTAGCTGGCTGCCCTTTGCATCTTGGTTTCTGGACAGAGATCCATAGGCTGACTGAGATCGTGAGGACAGCCCTTATACATGGCCACCTGCAGATAGTGAATGCCGTCATACTGATCTCTAGCACCGAAGTCAATAGAAGATGGACCACTGACTTTGACAGGAGCCAGATGGAAGTCCCCTCCCCATACCTAGCCCAGGAAAGGTGGGCAATATCCTGTTTACCTTAAAAGCTGCAAAGCTGTAAGGAGGTCTTACTCTTCTTTTAAAAAAAAAAAAAAAAAAAAAAGAAAGAAAGAAAACAACAACAACAACAAAACAAAAAAAAAACCAAATACGAGCTGCCAGGTTCTTCCCTCCATAGGAAAGCCACGGCACCTGGGAACAGTAGGAGAACATATTACAGTGTCTGTGTAAAAGCAGACTTCCTTAAACCTCCTGAAAGTCATCTGTTTCGCAGCTCCCAGCTGGGGGGGAAGGCAGGCAGGCAGTTGGGTCTTTAGACAGACGCCCAAGCACCGAGCAAAGGTTCCTGCAGTTTGGCTGAGTTAGCGATAAGGTGAAGGAAAGTTAAGTCATCTCTCCAGGGTGCTCTCACCGGAGACAAGTGTGGCGGGGTGTTCCGGTGAAGGTCATGGGGGATGGTGCCATCACTCATCATCTCCGAGGCAGGCGACCTTTATCCTTTCATCTGACATTCAGGCACTGGCATTTGAGAATCACTGCTATTTTGATCTTTTCCATGTAAATTAGCATGCTTTCCCCCTTCCCCCAATATCCTCATTAAGGAACCTGCAACAGCAGTCACTAATTATGGCCATAATGCATTTTGAAGAGCTCTCACCTCCTGTCATCACTCACTGCTGCATCTTGCACCTTGAGGAAGGTCCCCGAGCCAAAAATAAAGGGCTATGGGGTTGACTCCATGAACCTCCCATCACTCGTCACTAATACAGCATTAGCAGCAAAAATAAAAATCGCCAGAAATGGATTTGCTGTTGGCCTCCTTTCACAACAGCTAGTCTGTAATGGGGTTCAACTGGATCCCCTCCATCTGGCTTATGGGGTACAGTGGTCAAGTCACTGTGGTCCAGAGGCAGAGGATCAAGTTGTACTGAAAAGTTGCCAGTACTTACCAGTTATTTGGCCTGGAGAGTCAAAGGCAGATGGATGTGATGCTACTCCATCACTCGCTTGCGTGCGGTTGGCTGGAGAAACCAGTGCGTCTTGTGCACACTAGCCCCACGGGACGCTATACTTGGGTAAACCTCTTCTTGACATCAGGCTCGTCTCTCTCAATCAAGCACCCAGTCAGCGTGGAATCCACTGCTCCCACGTCTCAGATTAAGATATTCATTGTATAAAATATAAACTGGTTTCATAGGAGGATAACATTAGGTGCAATAGGATTTTTGACCTTGGGAGAGGAGCATGGCTTTGGGTACTTGCACGGGCTTCGTGGTCACCATCACATTCCAGCTAATAGGCGAGGAGGCTGGAAGAGCTTGTCCACTCACCAGGAAAAAGAGCAACCAGGCAGGGAAGCCTGTTGTGACGCCCAAGATGGAGAAGCACATAAGGCATCCCGGGTATTTGCAAAGTTTGCTGGAAAAAAAAAAAAAAAAAAAAAAGCAATGGGGTTTTTAAGCTCCTGAAAGCCAAATAGCTCCCCACACCATAAAACCCCAAACGTAACTGGTTATAAATCACCTGCCCTTGAAACTCCAAATGCCTCTGAAGTTACAGCACTGCTGTATTGTACTCACTGAGAGCTTTTCATCTTGTTTTTCCCCCAAATGGGGATTATAACCTACTACTGATGTTTCAGGAGTACTGGCTGAACTGGCATAGGAGGAGCAAGCCTAACGTTGTACAGTGTCCTGACTCTTGGGAGTTTGATGTTTCAGTTTCCGTGTTTCATTCACACCACTTGTGACACTGCTGTCCACGTTAATGCCTGGATACTCGCTCACTTGCCAGGGTTTTGGTGGCAAAACCCATGGAGGCTTCAGTTTGTCTAAGGTTACGGCTTCATACCTACCATCAATGTCTCCTCCAACACTCATGACAAAATTACCAACATATTCTGCACCAGTTGAGGGTTGCATACTCCTCCATCCCATGCGTATCCTCACCTGAAAATCCTCCATGAAAGCACAGGTGGACCAGAGGTCAGGGGACAAGCCTTGCATTTGGGAAACGCGGCTGTAATCTTTCCACAGACTTTGTGTTGCTACAGGCTTGGATCTTCAAAGGCAGTCAGGCAGCTGAAGTTGCCTTGAGTTTCTCTGTGCCTGAGTTTCCCCAGCTACAGAATGGGTTTAATACTAATAGCATTTCTCTGCATCCCAGTAGTGCTGAGGATAAAGTTGCTATAGGTTCTCTGGTGCTTGGATACTGTAGAAAAGGCGAGGGCAGGTCAGCATCTCCAGCAGACCTCCCGGCACGAAACCTCAGAAGGAGGTTAGGAAGAAGTGCATCACAGAGCTGGTTCATGCCTCCTTTTCCATGATGCCCATGACCCACAATCTTCCTGAAGGGCAGCTTGGATGCTGCAACTGCATTTTCAGTCTCCCCATAATACCCTTCCACAGGAATGAGGGGGGCATGGATTTTTGCATTTACTACCCGGCCTACAATTCATGAATTCAAGCACAGCATCCTCAACCTGTCTCCTGATGATGTATTTTCCTCCTGTTCTATGGTTTAAAAAAAAAAAAAAAAAAGAAACACAGTTGATTTCTTAGTACAAAATAAAACCTGAAAGCTTTGAGTGACTGAGCCAGGAGCAGTGTAGCACTGAAAGCAGCATCCACAGTGCTGGGGGCTTGTCAACTTGAAGAATAAAAAGCGTAAATTCTGAGGTATCTATCTATCTGGGTTGTAGGTAATGTCACACCAGGGAGTTATAAGCTTTTAGCCATGTTGGGCCCATGAATTACTACTTTTCGCAGTCAGCAAATTTCATGCTATCCACAGAAAATCGGCACAGTGCATAAAAGATGGATATAAATATACATAATTATAGCTCCACAGTCTCATTTTCCTTTGATCCTTTGCAGGTTACAATCGACATTGAAGAGGAGAACGATGAACCGCCAGTCTGCAGCCCCCGGGTGTATAAGGCAGTCGTATTTGATAACGTTACCGTTGGGACAAACATCGATAGGTTTAGGCTCGTTTGCCATGACAGAGACTCCAGCGATTCGGCCATGCGGTTTGAGATCGTCTCTGGTAAAGGGTTTATTTTTTAAATTTGCTGCAATGAATGCTCCATCACTGGTCACTTCCTTTGGAAGCATTTATACCTTTCCTATTTTTTCCCCCTTTTTTTAGGCAACAGAAACAATCGCTTCGGTTTTGACCCGGCCCGAGGGTCCAGCACGCCCAAGCTAATTGTGAAAACCCCTTTTCATTTGGAAGCCGGGGCCGAGTCCCAGCAGCGCTACCACCTCGTGGTGAACGTCATTGATGACAACCTGTACAACGTCACCGCGACCAAGGCCAGGACGGGGACTGTCTTAATAGATGTCCATGTTCTTAGAGCCAACCCTACCCCTGCTCCGGTAAGTCTCCCGGGAAGTCCTGCCCATGTGTCATTGCAGCACAGCAGGAAAAAAAAAAAAAAAATGTCCTTTCTGCGATTGCAAAGGAGCACACTGGCTGAGGTGCTCCTGATTGTGCCTCACTACCAGCTGGTCTCCAGCGAGGCCCGAGTCCCAAAAAAAGCTCTCCCTTGGGGCCCGATCCCAGGATCACAAGGCATTCTCCGCCCTTGCATGCCCTGCCACCCATGAAAAGGCTTGCAGCTGTGTCTGGCCTAGACTGGAGATACCAGACTTGCTGCTGCAACGGGGACCCTGGCTTCTTAAGCAGCTCCATAGGGCTAGTCACAATCTGACCCTAACCATGAACAAGCAAAAGTGCCCTCTGCCCTTCCCCACCATCCTGATCCAGCAAGATCCCATTGCCAACCCTGCTGCCTCCCTTCCCAGCCCAGCTGTCCCCAGGCTCTCCACTCCAGCGAGTCCCCCTTCCCAAATTACCCCCACCTCCGAGCTCAGCAATGCTGCGTTCCCAGCCAGACTCAGTAGCTCGGAGGCAGAAACTTGTTGAAGGCAATAACTTCCATCTTTCTTATTTGCTGCTTTCTTGTAACAATTCCCCCTGGCTGGTTCAGGTGCTTCACAGCCAGACATGCTCCCGGGTGCTCGTTAGCCTTCAGAAAAAATTAAGAAGTGGCCAGGTCTGAGCTGCGTTGCATCTCAGCCACCAGCCCCATGCCCTGCTAGGCTGTCACAGGAGGACCGAGAGCAGGCTGGACTGATTGCAGGTCACAATTATTATAAACCGGGGCATCGCATCGCCTCTGCCAGCCGTTGCCCCAACTCTCCTCTAAGGCATAAGCCACAAGTTTATTTGCTCGCTTGTCTTGGCATTGCATTTTATAACCTTTCATTTGTGTTGTGCCAGTGCCTAGCAGCCTCTCGCAGAGCTCAGGGACGGTGTGAGGTGAGAAATGAAAAGACAGTTCCTGCTCTCGGGAGTTGCATAACAAGGATGCAGCAAACGATGGAAGCCAACAAGCGGAGAGGCGCCAAAAAAAGAGCAAATTGTGCAAAGAATAAAAAGAGCTCTTGCCTTAGCTCGTCCCCCCACTGCCCAGTGTTCCCTTAAGCATTTGACCCCCTTGTGTGCTTGCATTTCTACGTCGGCAAATGCAATCTGTGGCTGTCACCTAAGAGGTTTCACCTCCGTTAGATGCAAAGGAGAAATTAAAAAAAAAAAAAAGTGCTGCCTTGACCTTAACAGAACATCATGCAGTTAGTATTACCAATACCCAGAGAACTTTTTATCAAGCAAAACACTCACTCACCAACCCAGTTTTTGCTTAAAAACATTAACCACCATCTGGCAGGACAAGTTGCTTGCTCTTTCTGACAAGAACACTTATGTCAACAGCACAGAAAAGGACTGACCATTATGTACACTGCCGTCAACACCTACAATCCTACGGACTGGTACATTCCCTTCATCTTCACCCTGACGGCCATTCTTGCCGTGGGCTTGGCGGCTTGGGGGTGCCATCTGGTTTGGACGCGCACAAGCTTCAAGGAAACCTGCTTCACCGTGCCGAGCAAGACCGCCGAAGCAGAGAAGGGGTATGCGTACTGCATTTCTTCAGCACAGCGAATACCATGCACATTAGCAATCCACCTCTATTAATTTAACATTTCAATGAATGGAGTGCTGGTTACAGGAACAGGGGATGAAACGAGCATTTTCCTCTAAATAAATAAGTAAAATAGGCTTTTCATTGAAAAAACAAAACAAACATTTCTCTTGCAATTGGGAAATTTCCATTTTTTCAGTAGGAAACTGCAGACTTTGGGGTTTTCCACGTTTTCCACAGAAAGTGGATGTTTTCTGCGGCGCACAAAGTTTTTTAGGAAGAACAATACAATTTAGTCAAAAAATCCACATTTCCGCTTAAAAAAAACAAAACAAAACCTCAGAAAAATGGTTTTTGACTAGCCATAATAGTCCTTTCCCAATGCAACATGCTGCTGCTTCTCCAAATCTTTGCATCTTCTCATTAGTGGTGCATCACTGGCTGTTCTGTTCCCTTATTCATAATTATTCAGACAGTCACTGAGTATGTGTGAAAACGTTCATGAATCCTGTACCTAATTTGTACCAACAATTACCCCAATCATTTTTTTTTAAATTTAATTATGCAATTTAAAATTAGCAAGAGCACGTGCCCTTTGCTTCAAGTGCTGTCACATTAAATGTCAGGCCATTATACTCTCTTTATCACAGGGGAGACTGGCTAGTAAGTACCATTTCTGTTATTAAAGTTAGCCTGTTTTCTCCAGCAAGCTCCGACTCTCAGCCAGCACAAGTAACTCCAAGCAGCGAGACCCCTTGCAGCCACTCAAATCCTTGGCTCTAGTGCTTTGCAGAGCTGCTCCTAAATTTAGGCATTGACACTATTTGCTGTGCTCCAGGTATTTAATGCACCCAGTGTAAACAGTTAGCGTGCCATAGGCTTATGTAACCGTTTTGACGCCTTTTTATTTACTTCTTTTGCAGAGTAGAGACATTTATGCCAGGTAAGACACCGTTGCCTACATGCCCTTTTTCCCAGTTGCTCTAGAGGCAATTGTTGTGCTCTGCGGAGGTATCAAACATGCCTTTTCTTGTTGAAACAGGAGCCAAAAAGAAACCAGTAGAAGTGGTAATGGTAAGTACAATTATCAATTTTATTCCGTGCAATATGGAACAGATTCTGAATCGCCTTGACCCGGCCTCGAAGTTTACAGGCTAACTTTCACAGTTCTCAAGTACTTAGAACTGAGCGAGGAATAATGTCCAGATCCAATAGGCTGGACATCTTCCCACTTTGCTTGAATGCCAGAATGGGATTTTGTATATAAATTGATTTGCATTTGGGTCGCCAGAAGAGAGGTCCCAAGAATTTAAGCTCCCATGTGTGTTCAGAAGGCCAGGATTTCTTTTATTGGACCAAATGCATAGCTGGGGTAGAGGCAGACAAGCCTTTGAATGCAAGACATTCTTCTTCAAGACGTTCTGCAGACCTGATGAAGAGTGCTTTGCATTTGACAGCATGTCTCTCTCTATGCCAACTATGCAATTAGTCCAATAAAAGATACCACCCTAGAAATCCTTGACTCTTGCATAATGCCTGGACCAGCACAGCTACCTCACTCTAACGCTCCTGTCTATTCAGGTGCAGGAATATTATATGACATGCAGCAGGCTTGCAAAAAATGGACGAAACCAAACCAATGATGCAAAATGTAACAGTGTGATGGAGTAACTAAGCATGCAGAGCACCGGGCAGTCAAAATGAATCACCTCCCAGAAATAATACACCTGGATGTTTCATGCAATAGAAATGCACAGCTTGGCTCTCGCCAGCTGTGCTAAGCTTGCGCCCATGTTCTGTTCCTCCAAGGCACTTCCTTATTTCCACGGCATCTGAGCTCTGCCCTGTCCGATACCCCAGTGAAGTGGGCTGCGCTACCAATGCCATTTCACAGATGGGGAACTGTTGCAACAAGGATGCTAAGCGACTGGCCCAAGGTTTCATACGACACATGTAGCAGGGAAGGGCTTTACCCCAAGTCTCCTCAGCCAGTGCCCTTGTCACTGGATCATCCTCCGTCTTTGCTAGGGATGGACAGTGGGTGTTGGCTGCCTGACAGATGCCTGCATCTTGTCCCTAGCTCCTCTGGCCCCTACTGTGCCCCGTTCCTTGGTCCCTTGCAGAATGGGCTTCGAATTTGCTCACTTGCAGAGTCTAGGCAGTCTGGGCCCAGCAGGTTGGCTTCCACCAGCACTTGCCCACAAAGTCACATCTGCCACATAGAAGGGTCTCAGCATTTTTTTTCCTTCCTCTTCCTAAGGAAACAGCTAAATACAAGACAAAGTTTGATGGAGAAGCAAGGGATCCAGGTAATGGCTGCTTTTGGGGGAAAAGCGGGCACACGTGACCCAAGTGATCTAGAATTGAGGATTGCTTCGAAACATAGGACGTGTCTATGTGGGAAGGTTTTACCTGTTATCCTACTGTAGTTATACCTGTATAACCTCTACATGGGCATGTGCTAAGGTACATTTCTTGTTCATTGCATGCAAGGAAGGGGTACGGAGGTCAGATAAAGAAGAAAAAAAAAATCCACCACATTGAAGAAGGCACTAAAAGGAATCACGTAGGCAGTGCTGGCAGCAAAATTGCATTGATTTAAATTCACACCTGAATGCACCCAAAAAATATTACCTTTCCCATATATTGCAGTATCCCAAATACTGCAGATTTGATGTGTTCAGTTTGTATAGTCTCCCAACCTGGAATGAGAGCGCATTTGGGAAGTGATGCGATGATTGCTGAGAAAGCTTGTCCTGGTAATGAGGACTTCACCATAGAGGTGGTGGACTGTTTGGGTTTTTTTTTCCACAAGGGGAATGTTAAATATGCACAATGGTAGATCGCGCATTACTGGCAGTGACACAGATTGGATGATTAACATGGGAGGGATATACAGTTTTTTGCATTCCTAGCATCTGGTCCTGTTCCTGCCTCTCCTGGTTGGGAGTCGTGCCACAGCTCAGAACGGTTAGCGCAAGGCAAATGTTGAAGAATAGATCATTTACGCAAAGGCTGTATAGAATTGATGGATTTTTTTTTTTTTTTTTTTTTAAATATAGTCTTTTACCCTAAAGAACCTCTATATGTTTTTTCCTGGGTAGTCACAGGGAACCTGTATCTGTTCAACAGCAAATCAGGAGCAAGGAAGTGGAAGAAGGAAGATGCTAAGATGGAGAAGATGCAGTTGACCAACATCTACTCAGTGTCTCAGAAGCTCCCCGCTGCAAAACTTGCGCCACTAACGACTCCCATTAACAGGGAGTTGAAGGCTGGTTCGCAATCATAAATCGGAGTATTTACCTTGTTAGCAAGAACAACTTTTCTTCCCTACCAGAATTAACAGGTTAAATAAGACAAATCAGTGCAGTGGGTTTTGTGGGTGAAGGAGAATTTGTTGTTGGATCCAATTTCAGAGTAGGTATAACAACAGGTTTAAGGCATTATTTTGTAACTTTTGGGATGTACTTTTTAACAGAACACTGTTGTGTGTGTGATAACATCAGGTAGGCACCGTCAATAAATATTTTAATCCAATTATGGTTTTGTTTTGCAGTGTTAGAACAGCCTCAACATATGCAATTATAGTAAATCCGTTACTGTGGTTGTATCTTATGCTTTTAGCCTTTCACAGTCCCAGCTCTCACCAAGTTCATTTACTAAAGTCCTAACTGGAGCTGCAGCTCTCCATTGAGTAATTAAGTTGTAGCACAGCTTCAGAATATATATTTAGCTTGATTTTGACCTTTGAACAAAATAAAGAAAAACCACATAGCAGACTTTTCACAGACAACTTCAGTCCACTGGGGTTTGAAATGCACAAAACTGATAATGGAAAGAAAACCCTGAAAACTGTAATCTGGCTATCCAAATACCTTTCGGCATGGGTAAAACACAGTAGGTTTTTAACCATACAATCTACATCTACCCGGTGGTTTAGGACAGGAACGGAAGGATACTGTTCCATAAAAAGCACAAGGTGAGCGGAGATGCAGCAATTCAAAATAGAAACAGCCTGGACAGCTGAGGCGAATATCTCCGGTCCTACAGAGTATCGGCATGGGATCTTTAATAAGCACAAGCAGTCATGACCTCAAATCCAAATGACATCTCTTGAGCTGAGCCAGTATAGAGTTGTGCAAAAGCAGCTCTTTGCAATACACAAAAGCAAGTCGTCCTGAGCCTACAAAACCTAAGGATTTAAGATGTCACGTAATCCAATCTACTGGCCTTTTACCTGATAACTATTTGCACATTCAAAATACGCAAACATGCCCTCTCATTCACAGAGTGCTCCTGCTTTGCCCAGTAGCATGTTATATTGAACACCAGAGTGGGGCACTGGTCAGGTGATGATCCAGAAGGAAGAGTGGCACTTGGTGAAATAGTAGTGCCAGGTACTGCAGTGTCTCGTTGAAGATCCCCTATTGCAGGCACTGTGCAAGCCTGACCCTGGTTAGTTAAAGGGGAGCAAATAGTCCAGCCAGGGCAATGTGGCTGCTACACAACATGCTCCTCGACCCCTACTGTCACTCGTTGCTGGGACCGTGCATCACGCCAGCCAGCTTCAGGGTATGGATGATCCATACTTCTTTCAGGAATTTGCTCCCCTTCAAACACACTCAGACTAGACCTGAAGCCAATCTTGCTTGCAATGAGGATTGGGATGGGAGAAAGGAGTCCCCGGTGTCTACAATAAACATCTGTGTAGGTGATTTCTCTGGGTAAGGCAAGCCAATTTATGTAGCTAATATATTATGCTGCAGCTTTTAAATGAGACACCTGCTGATGGAGCAGGGGAATTGTTGGTTGGACAACAAGATCTAGTGATATTGAGCACTACATCCAGGCAGCAACTGGTTGTTCACTATTCCTACTGTGAAACTTTACTCACTCACAATGTCCTCAGATTCATTTGAGGGTGCTCAGTCCATCAGATAATGCACATTTTCAAACAACAGTAACACAGCCATTGTGCTCTCCTGGATCAATGCGTCTGCAATTGTCTTTAGGTAACCGAATTTCAGTTTGCATCACTAAGCAACACTCAGCAGGTAAGCTCAAACAGAAGTCAATTGACATATTCATTAGCTTCCTTATATGCAGCCGTCATCACCACTAACGCACATTCCTACAGGGATATCAGGACGTCACGGTGCACGGGAGCTAAACGAGAAGGGAGTTCTGGATGTACAGTACATAAAAACTGAGAAGTCTCCTGTTCATTTACCCCTGAAGGCTAGTGGAAGGAAAGCTCTTTATTTATCGTGTATATAGAGAAATGAGAAAACAGATTGTCCACAAATGAAGCCGTTTGAATTGCACAAGCGTGGCATTCCTCGCAGACTTCGCCTTGCTAGAACCAGATCACTTTGCACGCAGATGTGCTGCCCCGGGCAAGCAGGCCATGCAAAGCTCATCCTGGCTTCTGACCAAAGGACTGATCCAAGCCAAAGTAGTTTTATAACCACATGGGACTATAACAGAGGGATTCTGAAGGTCAGACTTCTTCACCTTTGTCTTTTCCGCTTGTCCCCCAACTCCATAGCTCCTGAGAACTTCTCCAGCTCCAGGCACGTCACAGAGCGGCGAGAGGAAAAACGAAACTCTGAGACTGAACTCAGGAAAGCTCCAGAATGGCATTTAGCTTATTGTAAGGGGAGGTGGGAAGAAAAGCATAGACAGGGGAGAAAGCAAAAGGTCTGAAAGAGTAAGGGGCTTTCAACATCAGAAATGGAAAAGTTCAGTTAGAAACAAACTTTTTTCCAACTACTCAGTTGGGCTAAAAGCTATCACCTCTACTCAAAGCACCTTGCCCGCCAATTAGAAACAAATGAACATTTCTAGTTCATTTCCAAATGTCCCACTGAACAAGGGGGGAAAGGACCTTTTCTCATTTTTAAGGAAACCACATTCTTTTGCATGAAAATATTTGGTTGAAAAAGTGTTGGCCAGCTATTCATCAGACTATTCCGCCCTCACACCGCTGGTGTGCACTCAGGTTGTGCCCATCTCGGGCCCTCCCTTTATTACAGCCAAGATGCCTTCCCAGAATAGACATGCCACCCATATACTTCCTAGCAAATGAGTTTCAAGCCCTTGGTTGTTTTTTTTTTCCCAGGCAATTATACAAATCCCAAACTCTAGTGCTAGTCTCCTCCCTGAAGAGCCGTTAGCAAGTGACTAATGGAAGGACCTGAATTTCGAGAGAGATCTCCGAGTGCATGTTAGTACGCCACGTGGGGTCGATTGCAAACATTTGGCTCGTGCCATGTACACCTGTTACAGGTGGTCTCTTGGGGAAAGACTAGATAATTTTTCTGTGACAATTATCCTCCTCTGGACACTGCTACAATTCAGCAGGCTATTGCAGACAAGACGGGAAACAACACTAGCTGGGATGCAGAGAGGAGCACTGCTGTGTTTTTTTATTTAGAGAGAGAAAAGAAAAGTCTCTCTCTGCTAATAAACTCACTGTACTAAAAGCAAAAGTTTGTGTGCACCCCAGAGAGGACAGAGGAATACTTCAAAGGTGGCTAGATGGACTGGAAAAAAATCAAAACCTTGCATGAGGTTTGTTTGCCAGCTCCCTGCTTCTGGCTGGCAGTGCAAAAAGACTAAATTATAGGAACAGCTGGACCAAGAACAACTAGTGCCAGGAGTCTCAGGAGAGAGGCTGTACTTCAAGGGGTTTCAGCCTAGGGTGGGAGACCAAAGGAGGTTTAGAGCAGGTGGTGTTTAGCAACCGAACTGAGCTGCCGGACCTTTGGAGGGCTGGTGGCCATTGCTAAGCCATTCTTGCTCCTGTACAGGGCATCTTCGTGTTATTCAACCGCCCAGAAGGACCCCGTCTAGTCACCAGCCTCCCAGCACAGTGCCCTGAAGGAGGTCCAGGGGGTACATGCACTTATTAGTCAGCTCTCCCTATGGCCATGTGACCGAGCTGGATAAAGCACACCCTTTGCTCTCACCGTCATGGTTTATTGGGCTCTGCATAAGAACAGCAAATCTCCGAGTCAACAAAGGCCCCTGGCATGATGGTGATGGGTCCTGCAGACATATAAAACTGGCTCAGCCGGTCTCCTTTGTTTTTAGCCCACCCAGACGGACCCTATTTTACTATTTGAACCAGCAGATAATATGAACTGAAATATTTTAAAATACTCCTTAATCAGTACAAATCACGTAAGGAAACCAATTTCGGCAGGGAGAGCACACGCACGAATCCAGCTATCAAATGGCTGCCCGATAGAAAGACACTCCACACATCAGAACAAAGGTTTATTCCTCACCCTCTTTTCAGAGCAAAGGCTCAATCCTGCTCTCCCTAAACACTCATTGCAGAGGGCAGGGCAAGTCTGGGTGCAGAACTGACCCTTCAACTGGACATTCACCTATGTACCGGCTGGGTTTTCCTTATGCACAATACTTTGGATTCAGGGCCAGCCACATCTCTGTGTAAATCAGTGGAGTTGTTCTGATAAGCCCCAGCTCAGGGTTTGGCCTTTAGGTGCTTTAAAGTCTTGTAGATCAAATCCTCCTTGCAGGGTGCTACCTTTCAGGCCCTTTATATTTGGGGCAGCACAGCGGCAAGCCATGTCAGATATGCCATTCAGTCTCTAGAGTCCTGCATCTGCTGTTTATCATCATAAACAGCTCTCTCGTCTGCATTCCCCTTTGGTGATGAGAACTTGTTCAATGCACCTACCTGCATACTGCTCTCCACAGCAGCCAAATATTTTGCCTTCCCACCCCCTGGCCTGCTGAATGCCCCCCATACACATACAAATGGCAAAGGGGACTCTCTTCTATGTATTTCTGTGCTCTGAAGCCCAGGAGAACTAGGGCAAAGAATCCAGCTGTAGAACAACCTTCCAGAGGAGAGCAGGAGACTCTGGAGACAAGCTCTAGGAAGTGTTGCAAAAACCTTCCTCTGTGAGAAAGTCTTTATACCATAAACAACTCACAATTCACTCCTAAAAACTCCCCGAGCCTGTAGCTACTAGACTACCACAGCCCATGCAACAAACTCACCTTGCCAGCCCTTCAGACAGACTATGCCACTACCTTCACTCGCTGGCCATACCCAGTACCTTCTGCAAAGGGCTTAATTAGTACAGGTCAAGCTGCCTGGCCCCATCACTTAGCAGTGCTAATTATCTGCACATGAAAGCACTTCCACTACATATAATTTAAGAGGCGAGCCATGCAGGGCAGAACAAGGTGAAGTCTCTATTCAACACATTTGGGACTTGGCTGCAGCTCCTAGGGCTGTTTGGTGCTTTGTTT